GTGATGTATTGCATAAAGGCAGGAGGATTATGGATGTAAATAACCCTTATGTCTACTTATCTTTACATTGTGTTATAGAATAATTGATCAGAAATGCATTCAGTTTCCTTGACAAAATGTATTCACCTGATGTAATGTAGGCTAGGTTACTCGAGTAAAAGGACGTGTTGCTGAAACTCATGCAACAGGGACTGTGTTTCACCGCGATATGCGGCTTTCTCAGAATCCTGTAAGAGGCTGTTGTTTTTTTCAATCTGTTTTTTACAGAATTTGGTCATTTGAGAGACTGGCAATCCAGTTTGTCATAGAACAGTGCATGGTGTCCCTGAAGAACTTTCCAGCATAAAGAACTTTAAGTGGGAAAAGATGTCCCTATTTTTTGTTGTTGTTCAGTTTATTAGTTTGTTTTATTGCAAATGATAATGGAGCTTGTGCAACATTCTGTATGTTGGTTTTGGAACCTAAGCTAGAGAAATCTAATGGCCTTTTGCATTGCAATATTAGATAATCATGCTGTGTATTAAGGCTATCACAAATAAAGTTGCAAGATCCTTGCAGATAAAGGCATGTGAAAGGCTATTTTATTGCTGTAATTTAGTTTGCTGGAACTGGATCACAGCAACTTCCTACAGACTCATTTGGATGCTTTAGTGTGAAATCCACTCAGGTGGAAAGCTCTTATACCTACAGATCTTTGAGTGATTTGGTGAATTAATGCAAGAGTTAGTGGAAGGAGAACAGGATATCAGAGCCACCCTTGAATCTGCTGTTAATTACTTGCTTATTTCTGTGTCCATCATCTGCCTTCCAGCTAACTGTATCTGAACCTGAGGCAGCGTGCTGGAAGGCTGTCTAGTTACTAGTGCCTGGCAACTCTTTCTGCTCACCACAAGAGATAAAAGACAGACTTTAAATGGATGGACTGGGAACACATGATCTTAACAGATTTCTATAAAAACAAATATTGTCTGCATCGTGGATCTTTCTGAATAAAACACAGGTGTAGAAACTGCATGTATTGACATATATATGTTACAGTAAAGATGCTTGGCAAGGGAAGTTGTTTTCTTGCTTTGGTTGCTTTTCCCCACTTCTGGTCCCTGGGCATGCATTTCCCTTTCTGATTCTAAAAACTGAGTTCTATCAGCAGATGTGTCGTTCAACTCAATGATTCTGGCTGTAACTCCTTGCAGGAAGGAAGAGGAATAAGTTCTATTATAATCTGTGGCAGCAAACTAAAGCAATGTGTTTTTATTCTGTGTCCTTTGGCAATGTTTTTAGCTAAAACCTAATCCCTTCTGAGGGATTTTTTGAATATTTTCTTAGAGATGCTTTCTGAAATTAGTGTATTTACACTGTATGGAGGTGTAAATGTACTAGGGTAGCATCATTTTTCTTGAAGGAATTGCTAAAACTCAAAGTCTGAAGTAGTAGGAAAAAAACACAATAAGAGAAAATGCATCAGTCTTAGGTCATTGTACTTACCAGGTGCCATCAGGTGGGCACACTGTAGGTGCCTTGTCCACAGTAAATTAGGAGTGCTTTTGTTGACCTTATACTAAAAGACCAAATGATTTGATGTGTGTGGGACAAGAAAGGCAGTTCTAAGCTCTAATACAAAACCTAACCACTCTGCTAAGCGCCTTGCAATTAACACCACAATACCTTCCAGTTGAAAAATCAGATCCTTTTTTCAGCTACTGGAGTTTGTATTAACTTCAATATAAATAGATTGTTCTAATTTCTATTGAGAAGATGTGAATTCTGTCAGCAAGAAATGATGGGTTTACTTTGCACTGATATTGCATGTTATAAAGAGACTTAACCAATGTCCTGAGAAAAGGAAGGTCAGTAAGCAGTTGGTAAGAGCTGTAACTGTGCCCTCTTTGATATCTCTCACTCTAAGCCTCCATTATTGAAGTCAGGTTGTTGCTTCACGGCAAATGGCATCTGGGAAACAGCATTGCAACCTGTCATGTGCCTTATAAGGGTATTTCTTCTGTTAGAATAATATTACTTGCTCAGCAGATATTGTTTTAAAATTTCTAAATTTGGTGAGCATCATGAGAAGCTTTATTATTCTATCAAAATAGTACTGAATACCAGATGACTGAGAGTCACAGAGGTGACAATGAAATGCTTTTTTATGTACCTGTACTAAGTACTTTTTATTTGTCACTTTAGTGTTCAGTCTCTATTGTAGTGCTTTGATATTCCCAGTACTAAAGTAACTTTAAATTCACACTGTGGTGGCTGTTTTTGTTATTATTAACAAGTGTTTGTTTATTCTTGTGATATGCTTGTATTTCAGTAACAGATACTTCCTCACAACATTTATAGACTTCTATCATGTTTGTTTGCAGTACAAATTGACCAAGCTTTTTCAAGAGATTTGTTAGTTTGTTATTGAAAATTAACATAAATTTCCATACCTTGCATTTTAGATTAATATAACAAGCTTAGTAAACCATGAAACACAGTTAACTTTATTCCAATCCTTTCCATCTCTTGTGAAAGAGAACTCCTTTAAGATGCCAAACTCAGGGCAAATTCATAGCCCTGTTGGAGAAAACAGAGTAAAACCAGAAAAGTCTCATACTAGAGAAAGCAGAGAAGAAAATCTAGACAGTTAAAATAAACAGGCATTGCCAGCTAGTGTGCTTTGAAATGTTGCCCACCATGATCAAGTTGTTTCAATGACGAATACTCTATTTTAATGAAAACTAGAACACCATTTCAGTATTCTAGCTTTAAAAAAAGAAATCCTTAGATAGTCATTTGATTTGAAAGGTTTGCTTTCCTTCAGGTGCTTTTAAGCTGTTTTTTCTATTGTATTTAGGGGCATCTTTGTAGCTGCTATTTACAACAAAGAAATCAGCTACTGGAGTGGGAAATGGTTATTGCATCTTGAATTACACAGTATTTAGGAAATGTCCGGGTGAGCTGTGGTAAGCAGCTGAAATATGCTTAGGTCAGTGGATATTTAATTTCCTGTATGGCACAATATTTTGCTGCACAGTGTAAAGACATTAGTTTCCAAAGATCCAGATAAAACATGTTTCTCTGTTCCACTTCATTGTTCTTTGTGACACATCATAATCACAATCAAAGAGACGCTAAGAAAAGAAATACCTGTAGATTATTTTCTCCTAGTTTTTGAAATTTGTTACCCATACTAATCTGAAATAGCTTAGCTGCTCGTGGGGCTGACTGAGGGGTTGCTGAAACTGAAGCTGGAAAGATGAAGAGGTTTGTGAGGCATTACTTCCTGTATTACTAGTTTATGTTCTGCTGTTTAAAATATGTTAATCTCTGTTTGTAATTGTTAAAATTCCTAGTGAGCAAGCAGGGTTTTTTGTTAAAATAAGTCACAAAATAATAAATATAGCTTTTTAATGTATTTAAGTAGTACACGTGACCTAATGAGAGACCAGAATACTCTGTGTTAGTACATAAAACATGGCAAAATGACCACTTTCTGTCCCAAGCAGTTTATGCATTAGGTGTAAGACAAAAATTTCATATGTGGTGAAAACTACATTGCATGGCACATGATGTTTTCTAAGTTTTCTGTGAACAGCATCTACGTAATCTTCCTTCCTATTCTTTTTACACATACATTAATGCTAAATATATTGATCTGTGACTAAGCTTTGAGCACTGCAATACAAATGTTCCCTCTCCAGCCTTATTGTGCTGTTATTTGACAGTCTTGTATTCTAGATACTTGTCTACCAGAATGAGATATTGCTAGAATCAGTAAAATTAGAAAATCAGCAAAATTAATCTCTCCAATATATGAATTGCTTCTAGACAGGTAATACTTTACTAGCTAGGCAATTTCTGTTTGTAGTTTGTTTGACAGCTCAAAATTTGAGATCCCTTGGTGAGTTTTAATTGGATACCCATTTTACTTGAAATGTTTCTATTCCTAGTTTGAGTGAGCATCCTAGTGAGGTGATTTTGAAGCTTGCCTGTTTCTTAATTTGATGTTTTCTTTACGTATGGCTGTTTTCTTTTGGCTTTTGGGCTGTGCACTTGTTCACTAGAATATTTGGAGACAGCAAATAAAGGGTGGGATTAGCAGTTGATAAATCAACTCAATTAACAATTTGAGGTAAAATCATAGAAACCTTTGTGCAGTCTTTGCCCAGGTTGTGTGTGAGACTGTCAGTTTTTATGATTTACTGTCATTCAGCTTCTAAACCTTTAGAAACATTGATGTGTTCATGGCCTTTAACTCTTCCTTTCCCAGCTCCCTTACAAAACTATAACATAATACTGTTAGCATGATAAGCAATCTTTAGAGAGTGAAACTAGGTTTATGAACGTTTGACTTGCATCTCTCAGGAAACACATGTGTTTATTGCCTTTAAAATATACTGGTTTGATGAATAAGCTGCACCAAGAAAGAAACAAAACTGTGTGAAATGGAATGAAGTGGAAACCGTCTGTATGCTAGTGTCAGCCAGTGCTAAAATTGTAAGACTAAATCCTCTATGTTAGTGTGGCACAGATAGGAAAAGGGCTTTTTTGATTTCGAACTAAGGTCTCCCCAGGATACTGCTGTCTCTAGCCTCATAGTTGCATATTGTTTGGTTTTTAAATTCTTTGAGCTGTTAAACAGTAACTTTTTCTTGCATAGTGCAGATCAACCAATAATCTGCACTGAGATGTGATCCTGCGTTATAGTTACAGTGTTAGTACATTGGTCCAGGCTTCTTCTGTGCACATACATGTACGGCGCTTAAATGTTATATACAGGTAGTGTCAAACACTACTTAGTTATGCACCTCAAGTTACACATGGGTGTTAGTTGCAGTTACACTGGATGCTGCATCAAGCCCTCTTTTTTCTTTTTCTTTTTCTTTTTTTTTCCAAAAAGATGGGAATTTGGTGGGCTCAAACTTGTGCAATTAAAGTTTGTGTCTGAGTACTGTATAAATAGAATTGGTTATTTAAAATTGATTATTGGCTGGTTTTTTTCTGCTTATTTACAGGTTGCATGGCCGATACCATGAAATGGCACCAAACGTTGTGCCCATGGATTATACAAAGGACCCAGATGTTAAACTACCTATGCAGCTTATAATAAACATGCCTGAGCTAAAGGTATCGCTTCTGACTGCTTACAAACTGTATCTTCTTAAGTTATGCAGCTCATTTGCCAGAGGTTTTGCCAAGTGAGTTTGATATCCTGAAGCAACGTGGCATGCTGAGGTCTTCCCCTTCCTGTTACTGTTCAAGGGCAAAACTGGGAAATATTTAGGTGGATGTCTTTCTTGCAGAGATAGTTGGAATAGATGTTAAAGGAAATGAGTAGGAAATAATTTTAGCGATTTTTCCATGTACGTATCATCCCTTAGAAGCCAATGGGATCTCTGTGTGAAGAGCTGGTTAGAAATCAGAAGCTCCTCTATCATTGGGTTGGTAGGAAATTTGTCAGAAGTGTGCAGAACACTGCTGATCAAAAGTAAAGACTTTCTCCTTTTTTTCTCAACTACAAGAGCACAATAAATATTGTTTTTCTTCATTGTCAGGAATTTTCATTTTTCATTGAGTAATTAGATGATAGGAAGTGGAGAGACAGTCCACTGAGAGAAGCAGTAGTTGTAAAGCAATCAGTGCAAAAAAAATTGAGACCGTATTTGTTTTTATTATCTGTTTAACTATTGTATATGGTTTTAACGGGACAAATATGGATTTTTAGCATTTATTTTTAAACAGTTCATTGAATTATGTTGTCTTTGGTCACGTGGTCTGTTTTTCTTTTTAATGTATGCAAATTAGTTGACATCTTTAAATTACTGTCTTGTAGAAACAACTATTTGTTCACTGTGATAGCTGCATGAAGTATTATTAAGCTTTTTAAGAGCAATGTCATACACGAGTTGAAACTGATGGCCTTTCACTCCATTTTAATGATTTGGAAATTCTTCCTTAATGTTGTAAGATATTGAATATTTGGAAAAAAAAGTACAAGCATAAGCAGTGCTTTAGAAATTCAGTTGGGGAAGAGGTTAAGTCAACATAAAGTGAAAGACATTTTAATTAGATTTCAAGTTGAAGTTCGCAGAACTGCTTGTTCCTTTAGTACCATGCTTACCGCATGTTTGATTCTGGGGCAATACCATTTATTGAACAAGAAGTACATTTCACTCTCAAGAATGTTTGCTAAAAAGTGTTTTGACCAGTATGTCATTTAAATGGAAACATTGGAGATTAAACACACATGAGCATTTAATTCAATATAAGACCTTTGAAAAATTTTTATCCTTCAGTTATGACTCTGATTTACCAGATGCCTAAGTACAACTTAGAAATTTGGGTTTCTCAAGAAACTGGTAAATAATTTAGGATTCTTTTTTCACACTAAGCAGGGGATTCTTCAGCAAAATCCTAGTATATGTTTATACTCTTTCTAATCATGAGTTGGTCCTGTAATAAAGTAGATGAAGATGATGTAGCTAGCTTTAATTCAAAAATTACACAAAATCACACAAAAATTAGTAAATTTTAAAATATGTTAACGATTCAGATATAAATATTTCACATAAGTTTTGTATAACACAAATGTTTGTGTCGTTTTTCTTATTATACAAATAAAGAAAATAGGAAACAGGCAAAATAACAATACTTAGCAAAAATGCCCTGTATTTTAGTTCCCTCAAATTGAGCCCAATTTGGACATAGCAACAACAACAACAAAAAAAATCAAGGCTAAATTCAGAAAACAAAGTGAGAAATTATAACCACACACATTCTTTTTGACTTCAGTGGTACAGGATTGAACACTTAAGGAACAACTCATTCTATGAAAACTTTAGAGATTGGAGACTACTATATTTACAAGACAGTCTGGTACTTAAGCTGAGATATGAACCAGAAATTTTATACTGGGCCATGATTAGATTTTGAGATACAGGAGCACATCTTGCTACCTTAGCAAATTTAGGTGGTAATGATAACAGACTTCCTAATGGACTTCCGTAAGTAAAATGGATCATAATCTATCTTCTTATGCACATCAAGTCTGTGAGGCTTTCTGACCGTGCTTTAGAAGACGTCTCCAGAGTAACGGAATTTGATGTTATGAAAACAGCAGGACAAAATTCAGTGTCAAATTTTGTAGTAATTCTCTCCCAAGTCTCATAAGGCTGTGGAAGAACCTTAGAAATATTGCTGTCAAACCACTCATTTTATTTCAGGAATTCTAGCAGTTCATAGAGAAAGTGCTCTCAATAGCTAGTGAGCTTGTTTACAGTAAAGTATTGGTTAGAGGAGACTAGATCTTCTTCTGGAACTCTTTCAAAATGTGGTCACTAAAACATATTACAATGCCACCTAGGATCTCAGTTGTACACTGGGGTCAGTCTTGGTCCTGGAGCATTTTGCGATTACCTGTGTAGATAGAAGAGAGAGAAAGAGTCTTTCCCCTAGAGTTCATTTTCCAAGCTATCTAGGTAGTAACTCCAGCTCGTACACTAAGAAATAAATATCTTTAACCTTTGCAACTTGACCAGACTGCTAAATAAATCGTTATAGTGTTTTCTTTCTTCAGTAAATTTTCATCAAGGTGAAGACAAAGCCAACTTTTAAATCTTAAAATAGAAATAAATGAACTAAATGTATATTGAATTCTAATAAAATTAGTGCTAATTTCAATGCACCTGGCTTTTTTCATATACACATTACATTTCTAGTTACTGGCAATGTTGAGCTCAATACTACTGCAGATTCTGACAAATGGATAGAATCAATAATGCACTTTTCTAAATTAGATTCTGCTACTATAAAGAAAGATCTTTACCTCATGCGTTAATGTTTTGAGAGAGGATTTTTGTGTTTCAAAAAAAAAAAAAAAAGCTGATGGTCAATCACTTTAATTGGTAATGAATTATTCACTAACTCATGATCCTTAAAAGTTGAAAGTCAGGACAAGAAATAAATAAATAAAGAAGAGGCAGATACTTTAAGTTGATTAAGTCTACCATTACACCGAAGTTAACAGAGCTAGTTTACTCTGTCTGTTTCATTCCAGTCTCTGTTCTCTAATTTTGACAATCTTGTTTACAGAGGCAGCAGTCTAATAAATTAACTTTAGGGCATATGGGCACCTGTGAGATTGCAGCAATTAATATTGCAAAACTGTAGCAACGGTATGGGCTGTTCAGTATGAGACCACGTAGAAAGCAAAAATTACTTTATTTCAAAACAAACCTCTTTTCACTCACATTATCCCTGTCATTTCCACAGAGCTAGATGTGGAAATGTAACCTGATGACAGAGATAACATGTGATCTGTCGAACTGGGTGGGTGACCATCTTCTTTTTGACACATAGGTCCCTAGTTGTCAGAATCTTCAAATTGTTCATCTTGTTATTGTAGTGTAGGGCAATCCTTCTGTCAGGACTTGGTCATAAAAGGACTTCCTGGAGGGGAACCATTTTTGTTTCATTCACTTTACAGTCTGTTGCTTTCTTTTTTTGGCTCACGCAGTAACTTCATTGATCCTCACAGGCCTTGTCATTAGCTGCAGTGGTGAGTAAGGTGGTTCATAAATCCACACACTACGGAAACAGAATGACCAGCAGGCACAGGAATCAGTCAGGAGAAAGAAAGGACACACAAGGAACAGTGCATCCATCACACATTTCGGAACCAATGTTAGCACCCCGGTTTTGGCAAGTTTAAACATGAATGAATGTGAGTTGCTTCAAAACAAAATGAAAACACTTCCTACAGTTTTAATAAGGTAGAATTTTAGAACTTATTTCAATGAGTCCTCAGTTTCAAAGCTTTCCATGTAATGGGCAGTGACACCTGAGAGAGCAGGTTGATACTCTTCCCAAGCCCCCATCCCTGCTCTGGCCAATCTTTGCCTGTAGCTCATCCCGGCTTCCTTGTCTCTGCATCCAATTAGTTGTTTCTAGTTAGGATGGGATGTTTTACCCCTTTCAGACCACTCTTCTTTCTTCTTTTCCATGTGTCTCAACTGTATTCCTTCCAAGTGTGGTAGGTGAGGGCCATTTTGTCTCCACTGAACGTCACATCTGTACTTGCTTGATGGTCTTTACCAGTATTGTCTGCAGTTTCCTGCTATAGTTAGTGAATATTGCCCTATATTCCCATGATATACTGTTATGTTCTGTAATATTTAAGCAATTCTATACGCAACCAAAATCTTTGGTTGTTGTGACCATAGTGCAGCCTTCAGTAAAGAGGTAAGCTCATTGCTGTACTGTCTTACATTTCTGCTTTCTGACAGAATGACATGATCTTTTTTTTTTTTTAAGATGTAGACATATCAATTTAACTGTATCTTAGCCTTGGTTTCTGCATGATTTTCTTAATCACTACCCTGTAGGCACTGCAGAGAAGTTTGATCACATGAATATAATCATCTATGCATGAAAAAAAAAATAGATTTTGAGGAAGAAGAAAAGAAAAAAAAAAACAACCTACCAACAAAGAAATATGCTTTTATCTGCTTCAGGGTCAGTTTACTGTTGCACTTATTATTCTTCCCTTCCAAAGCATCAGCCTCTCCTATGGAGGTCTGGTAATGAACAGTTTAACCATTTTTATATTAATGTTTGTCTGGTAAGAGTTCATTTCTACTTTTTTAGGACTAAGTCCTGAAATTCGAGAATGGTTTGCTTCTGATCAGTTTGAACAAGTCCTGATTAAAGCATCCAAAGGGATTCTGGCTCAGTAGTCTGCAAAGCAGACTGCTTTGTGCATGTAAATATCTTCTCCAATGTCAGTGGGGACTTATGTCCAAATAATAATAAAAAAATTATCCTGTTTCTGTGAATATAAAAATGAGAAGCATTTTGTAATGACTGTCTAGCATCTCCAGCTTAGTTATCTTGACCTATCCTGCAACTTGTAACCTGTTATTTCCAAAATGCAGTCTGCTTGTGAAAATAGGATACAGTGCTTTAAATTAGTTTGTCAAGCTGCAAAATGGACAGGGCAAAAGGACAATGCAGTGCTTTCCTGGAGACTGTGATAGAAGCTAGAGGACAGGGGAAAATAACAAGTGACTTGGTAAGATTTAGCTGCAATCTCAGGAATAAATCCTGTAAGAGCTTCTTAGAAAACTAATGGTTGTGTTCTATTGTATGGTGTTCTAGGTCTGCCTGTTGGAATAGATGCCGCATGGCATTCAAAAATGTATAGAAACACAATTATCTGAGTAGAAAAAGTGATTGTTAAAAAGATGGATGGCACATTTAGGAGGATTATCTCAAGCCACTACAGCAGAATCAGTCTGCAAAAACAGCAGAGTTTTAGCTGTAACAGTTCTTTATTGTTTCTGTCTCCCCTCTTATTTTTGTTGTGAGACGACAGAAAAAGTTTTTAACAAGACAAGTGTAAGTTTCTAGTTTTAGAAGTATTCTTTTTTCAAAAAACAATTAGTGCTTAAGGGAGAACAGTCAGGAAGGAACAGTATTGTTTTCCCCTTTACTCCCTTCCCCCATGGCTTTTCCTCTAAATATGATGGAACCCTAATCTGTGCTGTTTAGAGTACAGGTAATGAAATTACAGAAAGGATGTGAAAAGTATCTGTGAAGGTAAGCTTATACTTTCCATTGTGTAAGCCACAGATATACTGCCTGAAGACACATAATATGAGAAAATTAAAGGAAAGAAATCAATATAAGGAAGGATTTTATTTTTCATTTAGGTTTTAGAGATCCATTTGGCAAAGATTTACTTAAGAAGTATGCTTAGGCCTATTTAATTCATTGTGAATTCATCTGCATTTTCAAGATCCCTGACATGCCAAATGGATAATTAGTCTTATGCAACTGCAATGTGCTTATTCAGTCAGAGAGATCATGCCTAGCATTTCTAATGCAGAAAGTCCTGGGTTTGATACTCATTGCTGATAGGGATATTTGCATTTGTGTACTCCCTGTTTACTACCCAGTGCTGCCTCTAAGATGTCCCTTTACAACTGTTACCATGACAGTTAGTTCTGATGAGGTTTGTTACAAAGAAAGCAATATAGTATTTTAGAAATAAAGATAATTTTTCTAACCTATTTTCTCATCCACTCTGGTATTTAGCATCCTCTAGTGTTAAACAGATACACCCATATTTTTTTTATGTGCATTTCAGGAAGAAAGTGGTCCTTTTTCATATATTTCAGCCCAAATGAATCTTACTTTGGCTTATTAATAAACTGATAATTGGAAACAATAGAATCAACTGGTTTCCACTGTTTACACTGTGTCTGTATGTATATTCATACCACATACAGGCTATTTCCAAGCACTCAAGTCAGATACTTTAGCTTTAGCAGCACCCACAGATGCATGTCTGCTATAGCTCCTCTACACATCATGCACATGATGTGAGTGATCATTACATATTCTTTTACAATGACTTTCAGCCATCTGGCTAACTCTGGGGTGTTGTTTTTCATTCTGAGACTCTTGAGAGATGTGACCCTTTTGCTTTTTTGAGGCTGTTGTCTTTTCACTTTCAGGAATCCCTCTTTTCTACTATATTTAATTCATTTTTTTATTATTATTTGTCCTGTTTTTGCCTTTGAACAGCGAGCTTAGCTTAATGTATTCAGCTCAGAGCACAGTGAGCTCATTAATCTCCTATGCTTTGAAATCTGTAGGTATGCTCCCTATTGTGGAATTAACTTCAATCATCAAACCCTGGAGGAAAATTTGAATTTAGTATTGACTACTTTAATGGCCTGTCATTTGAGCCTATGGCTCTGCAGTCCCTACTTCACTTATCCATTAAAACAGACTTATTCCTGGCAATTATCTCAGCCAAAAAGACTGGAGAGATCTTGGCATTTAGGAGTGAATTTCGAATCTTGATTGTCTCAGGAATTATGCTTCCAATGTGTGTTTCTCAGATCTTGTCCATCCCGAGAAGACTGATACACACACTTATATGGTTTTTTTATTAGATGGATATTTGCCTTTTAGCAGAGACCAGCTAATTTCTACCACCCAAGTTGTCCTAGAGTGCAAACTGCAAGACCCTAAGACATCTTATTAGATAGTTGATACATCCTGAGTACTTGGTTATCATTAAATAGAAACCTCCTGATAGAATCAGGTCTGCTCTCTGAGGATGTGAATGGCCAGTAGAGCTTCTGTAAAGAAGTATCTCAAAGTTCCAGTTGGGATGGCCAATGAAATTCATTCTTAAATTTGCCCGGTGGCATGACAAATGTATGCAGGTGTGGTATAGCCTTGATCAATCCATGCCTGGTACCCAAATGTCCGACTGCTTCTCGGTAGTTGCATCCCAGAACTAGACACTGCAAAGGGCCATCCTGTAGTGTGAATTTTCATATTGTCCAGTTACCTGAAGAAAAAAGGAAGGCTGCTTTCCAGGAACCGGATGTTCTTTGAAATGTCCACGTGCACAGTCACACCTCACATTTATCTTGGAGAAATTTAGCTTTTGTATGTTATGCTTGTCTTTTAACAAGAATCCTTAAAACGTTTTCATTATTTGAAGCTGTAACAAAATATATCTTAAATGTTATCTCTGTGTGGGTGACAAATCTCATTATGCTTCCAAGTTCCCCCTGTGATTTCAGTTGAACAACTTTATCTTCAGCTCTTGTTGTAATCTGCTGCACACCATTTAACAGTTGTTGAATTTTACTTCAGAGGCAGCTGCATATTAGTGGTAAGTAGTTCAATTCTTATAAGGTACTTTATGTTCCTTTAAGATGAAGGATACTACATAAATATAAAACATCAGTCTGTTTGCGTAACTCTGCTTTGTACATGCATTAAATGGATATATGATTGAGCTCTGAGCTTTCACAGTACTGCTTCTTTTAACACCAAATTAAAATGCTGCATGCATATTAAAAGTAATGAACATGATATGCCACCACCAAAGCTGTTTACACTTACAGGAGATCAATATGTTAATCAGTGTCTTGACTTCACATAAGATCTATAGAACAGCTTTGATGTGATGCTGCTCACAGCCTGAATGATGTTTGTGTGTTTTATTAATATTCAACTGAAATGAATGTATTTTCCCATTTATACAGACATAGCTACAAATTCATCTTGGGTTTTTATATAGCTGTGAGATACATTGTTTTGTTACTATAAAAACATTTGGTTTGGACTTCAGAGTAGTAAAGCAGCTGTTCTTATGCTTGCTTGTGTGTTTATGGCTTTAGAACATAGTCTTATTCAGAGTAGCCTTGACACCAGCTGGGTTGGTAGGGTGCTAGAAAAGGATCTTAAGATCATCTCCTGCAGAGATGAAATTTCATTTAAAACTCTGGAATTTGTAGTCAGTTCAACCAGAGGTTGGACACTGGTGTGCATGAGAGTGAAAATGAAAGACTTTTCTACAAGATTCTACTGGGCTATGACTCTACATCCTTAATGAGCAGACATGGTTTGGTTGATGGTTGGTCAGTGGTTCTGCATCAGTCAGGTGTGCAGTGCAGTTATTTACTTTTTAAAGTGCTTTCGTAAATATTTTTTCCTCCAGCCCTCAGTCAGGTGCCACCAGAAGGCGTAAAGACCCTGTTTGTTTCACTGGCTTTCCACCTTGGTCTCTGTTTCTTTCCCCTCCTGTCATCCTGGGTTCACATGTGCTAGCTTCTTAACGTAGGAACTGTAACTCTCTTGACCGTGTCAGTCTGACACCCTGTCAGGAACCTGTTATGTGCGAATGATCTTCACACTCCTAGTACTTTTACCCTAACATTTATAAAGCATGTATTCCACATAGGAGAAATGAGATGAGCACCAGTTTAGAGAGAATGAATGACAAGGGAGCTGAGAAAACCTGGGCAAGAAGTGGTACTATGCAGCAGCATTTTCTGCTGACAGTTTCTGCTAAAGCACGCAGATGTAAACTTTTTGGATGCATTTTGGAAGGAAAAAAATTGTCTATAAGGAGTCAACCATGGAGTTAAATACTCATTAACAGAGAGTCTACAGGTTTTTTGATCCTCCAAATACTAAAAGCAATATATATGTATATATATATATCTGTTTTTCACAGGAGAATCCCTTCAAGGAAAGGATTGTGGAATCTTTCTCAGAAGATGGAGAGGGGAGCCTCAGCTTCAACGATTTTGTGGATATGTTCTCTGTGCTCAGTGAAATGGCTCCCAGAGAGCTTAAAGCAATCTATGCCTTTAAGATCTATGGTACTGTATTGGGATGCTTTTGTATGCCTTTTTTGTTTGAAGTACATGAGTATGAGAGTTGTTGGTGATCTTTTCTTTGGTTCTTTTATTGTTTAGATTTTAACACAGATAACTTCATTTGTAAGTCAGACTTGGAAAAAACCCTTAATAAGCTGACCCGAGAAGAGCTAACAGCAGAAGAAATCACTCTAGTTTGCGAGAAAGTGATAGAAGAAGCTGACATGGATGGTGATGGGAAACTAGGATTTGCAGACTTTGAAAACATGATTTCCAAAGCACCAGACTTTCTCAGGTATTGTTTTAGGAAAAGATAGTCTCTTGCGTATTTTCAGGTATTTTATTAGGATAACACTGTGTAGTGTAATACAAGAAATGTCAGACATAAGAACGTTACCAGAGAGCTGGCTAGAGGATGACTTCTTACTCTGACTCCGTTGACTTTTCTAGAGCAGCTCTCTCCTCACTTGAAGACTAAGACTCAATGACTTTTTTTTTTTTTCCTGTTTGTGTGGTTTCTTCAGGAAAATATTTTGATCTATTTTGAGTCCAAATTCATATTATTCTCAAGCCTATAGCAAAAATCCATGCTATCTTAATAGGAATATGTGTAAGTATTGTATACATGTTACAAATACACATGGAAACTCATTGGCCTTTTGTGCTGAGAAGGTGAGAGCTTCTTTGTTGCTTTTTTGTTGCTGAGTTTCTTCCTAATAATCTGTGGATAAAACCTAGTTATCTTAAGACAGTTTTTCTTGCATGTTTCATGTTTAAAGAGATATTTGTTAAAGGACAATGACTTTTGGGTTTTACACATTAATAAGACATTCTACATAAGCTTAAGTAATACAAGGATAGACCTTCTTTAAGAAATTACAGTGAACCAGCCAGCAAAATAAGATACTCCCAGATGGGGAGGAGTTCCTGTTGAGATCTTAAATTCTCCCCAAATTTCAGTGGTCTGGATTAACTATGTCTAATAGTAAATGCTTGATAACCTGAATTTATTTTTTTTTTCATAATCTTTGTTCATACATTGTTGCTAAGTTGGTAGTGTTACTGTTTGGTGATAATTGATAATAACACGTAAATTTTAACATCTGGGGAGATAAATAATGCAACAATTGTTTGGACTGCAAGCAGGTATACAGTACATTTGTAAATAGTTTTGGCAATATTGGAATTGGTAAATTCTAGCTTCTGCAGACTTGTGGCTCCTGATTAGTTGGCTGATATCTGAGAAGGAGTTTCATTTCATTTTTCTGCTGCAGTTAAGGTGCAAGGACTGGTTCATCTGTGTAGATTTTCTGATATCTGGAAAGGTGCAGAATTACTTTGCATCTTTCTATGAAGTAGAACACTTAGAGACTTTTTTTTTTTTTTTACACAGCTGCCTGTTTGCAGGAAATTGGCAGAGACTTAATCATCTTTCAGTCACATGTTGTTGAATTCTGCCAAAGGATTCAGAAGTTACTGGATTAACAAAGCTTACAGCCAGACTGATGGAATAAACTGTATTTTCATAGGAAATAAGGCTAAACATTAGGGTAGAATTAAGATCAAAATTTGGACTGAGAATCTTAATGCTAATGTTGTTTAAGAACTTTTAAGTGTCCTGCAGAACACAGAACAGTTTATTTCTTTCATAAATGAAATTTCTGAGGAAAGACACTATAACAAAATGATTCTACAATAAAGCATGAGGACTTGATTCCTGTGAACCCTAAGAAACATCAGCATCTCGAGAGGATGTACTTCAGAGTTAATGTGAATGTCTTTTATACATTAGAAACATATCAAGTATTCCTTGGCTAATCAAGCGTATCAACAGAAACTCTGTTAGAACAAGATACATATCATCATTATGGTGAGGCTTAGCTGAGTAGGCATTCTAATATTTTGTTTACATATGTTTCCAGCTAAGAAAATGTTTTCTTTATACTGTTTTCCATATAGAAACTGCTGGGGTCAGGTAGAGTTTCCTTTAATCAATCGAAAGGCTGTACTATACCTATAAATCTGGTAGAGAACAGAGATCAATTGTGAAGAATGGAAGGCAGATCTGAAGACTCAGCAGAAGCTGTAGTATTAGAAGTTTCCTGTGCCATGACTGACTTTACTGCTATGTTGTAGAGGCTTGCAAACTGCTGACTGAGAATTCCAAGCTGAAGATGCTGTGCAATCCAGACGCTTCCTGAGAAAGTAGCAGAGAGGAATATTTGCCACTGTAGCTATTGGAATGACTGTCGTAATTATTTATCTTTTCCAAGTTTGTGGTGTTTTGGAAAGCTGAGAAAGAGAGTGGAAGGACCCGAGTGCTGAGTACTCATCAGGGCAAGAAGATGAGTAAAAAGAGGGATGAAGTGAAAAGTACAAGAGCTTGTTATCGATTTGGTAAAGAGAAAATAGAGAGGGAGGGATCACTGACAATAGCAATAATCGCAAAGGACCAGGCTACCAAGTGCGGGAAGACTGACAATCTAGTTGCTCAGTTAAAACACACATGTGCTTTGATCTGTGCTTGTGACATGGTGAACTCATGTAATCAATATGTCTCCTTGATGTTCAAGACAGCAATGTATATATTTAAGGCCGATTTTTTCCATCTCTGGCTTCAAGGGAAATGATAGCTTCCTTCCCCTTTCAGGCCCAGGAGATGAGCTGAGTGATGGGATTCAGCTCTGAAGTCCTCAGGCTTAAGAGCTCCTGGTGTGACACGACCTAAAGAAAGCTTTCCTTCCACCTTCTAGCTGAAACACTGATTTAGAGCCTCTGACTAACTCAGCAACATATTTTTTAACGTTTGAAGCTATATTTCAAATTGAGGGTCTAAATGGAAATAGTCTGAAGCCAAAAAGAGAATCTGTAGGCTCTCTGGTTTGATTTCTGTTTCAGCTGCAGGAAAAGAAGGTGACAAGGTCATGACACCACTTTTATCCAAACCAATCTATATGGAAGACGTGATGCATCTCCCTTATTGTGGTTTACTATTCATTTTGCCTGTAAAGGTGTTTTATTTTTAGGGACATTCTTAGCCATATTTTTGCTTAAGACAGGGCTGTGCATTTTCACCATGTAATGTAATACAAAACATGCAAAGCACAGGAAGTGTCTTAATAGTGGATCAACAACCCTATATACCAGTGGTAAACTTATGCCTGAACTGTGGAAGAAATACCAACCCATCAATGTCCAGAGACAGTAATAATTCAATTTGGTTTTGCATATCTCCACTCGTTGTGCCCAATTCAATGCATTCCAGACTTTAAATTCAAGTGGAATGCATGTCTCCAGTTGTTGTGCCCAATCAATTGGCCTAAGTACCTATTGATTTATACTTTCAACTACTTAGCAGCTGTGAAAATTAAATACCTATGAACCAAAGCAGTAGCCACTTTTGAAAAGGATTGCCAGTGAGTAATTGAAGATGCTGGGTAACTGCAGTCTGCAGAGTCATTGCTGTGGAGCTACGGGCAATCAACATTTCTGAATATCTGATCATAGAGTACCATACTGGCACCTGATAGGTGATCCTTTTGAAGATGTTGACTAACTTGGCAGAGGCCAGATGATTTTTATTTGTAGTAAAGGATTTTTTACTCTATTCTTTGCCTTTTCCCCTCACCAAAAGCCACTTTTTCACATCATAAGAGTCGAATTTAGGATGCAAAGCAGTTAGGTTTTATCCCTGGCTGTGCTGTTGCTTGAGCAGGTGATCTCTGCTAAGCCATAGATCATTTTGTTCTCTCTGCTCTTTTACAAGGGACCAGTGCTTATCTGACTTCTGATAAACATTGAGAACTTTTATAATATGAACTATCCAACTGTAAAATCTCATTGTCATTACAATGAGGTATGAAATTCCTTCTTTACCATGTTTGTGGAAAACCTGCGAAGGCCAGATTCCTATAACAATGTGCACTCTCTTTTTGAAGCACTTTCTTCACACAGCTCAATATGTTGGTTTTTTTAAGCTGT